CGAAGAGAACCCTTCATATATGGGATCTCTTTGGGTACATTTGGCTTGGGTAGTGTATCATAATAGATAGAATTGTAGTTTCATAAAGTTCACTAATTGGCGAACAATTGTTTATACCATTTCCTAAGGTGCTACAACAATCAAATATAAAATATACCATTTCCTAACAGATTGTGAACACCATGTAACTTAACAAGCATCACCAAGTAACCCCATTGTGATCACAAGTGAACACAATGTGAACATAAGAACACCAAAAACAAAAAAACTACAAATCACTAAAAACATTTTGTAAGAACTTAGATACATATTAAGACAAAATCGATAATCAAGTTTGAACACCCATCAAGCATCTCTAATGAATCCAAAACCAAAAATATATAGTATCACAATGTGAACCATTATTAAATATATTCTTTCAATTAAACATTACGACCACATATTTTTTACACATTGTGATCACCTTGTGAACACAATCTGACACAACGACACTAAGAACAAAACCAAAAAAACTAAAGATCCCTAAAACTATTGTGTAAGGACTTTGGATACACATTGTGATCACCTTGTGAACACAATGACACTAAGAACAAAAAACTAAAACAACAACTAAAGATCCCTAAAAGTATTGTGTAAGAACTTGGATACACATTGTGAACAATTAATTAATGTTTTATTTGAAAAGTTATGAATTTCTTATTTATGGAAGTTATAGATTTCCTATTTATGAGGAGAATGAATTAATTAAATGCATTTATGAGTTGATTAATTTATCTTTTATATTTATTTCATAAATAGCATAATTATCTCAAATGAGTGGGAGAGATCAAATGCAAACCAAATCATTTGAACAAACTGTACAAACCGTTGATTACATTATTTAATTTGATGAAATTGTTGAATTTGATGAAATTGTTTCATATGATTCTTTTCTTGATGAAAGTTTTTCATATATTTTTGTTTCTATGTAAAAATGAAATTGTTTCATGTATTTCTTATTTTGATGAAATTTGTTTTCTAAAATTAATACGGGGAATCTCATTGCTATTACTCAAACAAGCATGAAACGTATGCTTCCGCAATTTTTTCCATACCTCTGTGTAAATAACCCAATATTGGTTCATAGTCAATAACATCTATATCAAAAAAGCGTATTCGTAAAAATATTTGGAAAAGATAAGTGGATATAAGAAGTAGTGTTGTTGAGATCTATCTAGCCCTTTCATCTCGTACAGCTCAAGCAAAAACACCAAAATACTGGTTGGCCGCGGAAACGCTCGGATGTGATCAATTTTTCGTAGGGGTATTGAATAGTTACAGGTAAACGATTCGTGAAGATTATAATGTCCATAATCAACGCTCTGCACAATAAAAATGACTAATCAACCCTCATAATTTAAAAAATATGAAAAAAAGAAAAATTATGATTGGTTGAATGAGGTTTGTACGGTTTGTACAAATAGCTTGGTTTGCATTTGATCCCTCCCCTATATATAAGTGTGTGTGTGTGTGTGTGTGAATGTATGTATGTATGTGCATATATATATATATATATATATATATATGCGTGATTGCCAACATTGATCATTAAAGAACCGATAAGGGCTCACACTAGTGTATGAAATGAGACATTTTGATCGAACTTTTCATTAATAAAGTCAGTTTGATCCTTAAAGTTAGACCAACAATTGTAACTTATTTGATTCAATGAATATCATACTCATAATTCGATGAATAAGACTATAAGAGTACACGATAACGTTGTCTGATTCACTTTTGCTAATAAAAAACGGGTATATGTATGTTCATCACTCAATCCTTACGCCTTTAGTGTTAGTATGTGGCTTAGGGACATTCTCTAGTCATCTAGGGGAAACTGCAAATCCAGTAATGTTAATAAATTGCAATCGACGAAGGGTAGCGGTGAAACCGTTAGTTTTAGCCCATTCCATTGTGAAAAGAAAATTTCTATTGACCAATTTGTTAAAATCAGGAAACCATGGTGAACGAAAATCACCAAATGGCTTTTGGCCAATTGTACAGTTGTCTCTACAGGTCTTAGGTTGAGTTCGAGTCTTTTTACCAACATTAATGCATTAGGATTTTCTGAAAGCGACACACAAAAGTCCCAGATACCCTAAATGTGTTTAAATGACCCAACAACCAAAATGGAAAAACAAAACAGATCACAACGATATAGGTGTGTCATGAAAATAATGTAAAGTAAAGCAACAATGTAACGACATAAGCATAAACGAGGTTCCATGAACACATAACTGTATATGTCCTCCTATTGAAATGCCATATGAAGTATTATTTTCAACAAGTTGAAGGTTAGGAAGAAATTCTTATCAAAACAATTACAAACTCCAAATGTAAGAAACTAAACATAACTACATCAAATTTGGAGTCGGAAGCCACCAATGTGTTTGATCTTAGTGTAGAAATGATATTCGAACACCAAATAAGCCTTAAATATGATTTATCTCGTGAGTGTCTCTATGCTACTTGTGTAATCCACTTGAGGTAGCATAAGTAGGTTGCATGGTTCCATTTCATGTTTTCTCAGCAACATGAGATTGTTGCCTACGCTACAAAAAAAGTACCATAGCTCCCCATGTTGTATGTGACTCCCACAACTAGTTAAGGTTGCATAGCCTCCTGAAGTGTTAAGTGTCACCAAAATTTTATTCCACCTTGACACTTAACACACACGACTCCAAGATAGAATGACATTCAAACTGTTCACAGGCTAATATGTTTCGGCATTGCCATCATCCACTAATGATAGAGCCAACATGATGCTCAAAGAATCACATAAACAACACCTAAATAGGTCTTTATGAAAGTACTCATCCTCATTCTACAAAACAATATCCTGGACCATCGATTCGTCTGTAAATAAACAATCAAGCCTGAAGCCGTATATTGATCCTAGATCCTCCGTATGGAGTTCCTAACTCCTAAAATATGTGTAAGCAACATGTCCAACGTAGGAAATGCCCCAAACTTGACATCACACCTATTGAAACACTGAAGAATAACATAATTGGAGTCCACCCTGAGCCTAACCCAAATTGAAGTTGTACCCGATACTCAACCATGATATGGAACATGCCATAAAGATACGACTCTGAGCATGATGATACAAATACCATTACCCCACCAATGAGTCCCAAATATATAACAATGAGCATAACGAGTGAACTAGAACGCATATGTATTACCCCAAATCTTGATACCTCAGAAACGAGCAATGTAGTCATAATTGTAAGCAAACCAAGCAAAACCGGTGTGTACCTTTACTTTCACCAAATGTGGAAACTCCATTACCTCATAAAACAGTCCTAAACACACAAGTGTGAGTGTAACAAGCCAATTTGGCATCTCTTTTTGATGCTGCAAAATATCATATTGAACAAATTTTACCCTCAGCTGGACCCATTACTGAATTTTTTTCCCGAACATAGCTGATATGCGTCCTTATGGAACCAACACAAAATGACCCAAAGAGCCGAGCTCCAAACTGGTGCTACTGTCGTAAGTCCTAATACCCCCACCAACGTAATCCCAAGTGGTGAGTGGAACAGGCCTAAAAGAAAGCCAAATCAAGTCCGAGACACGTTCGAATGATCACTCCTATGGTTCAAACAAGTACCCAGAACGTGTTTAACAACACCACAAGATAGCCATAGACGCTTCCAAATGCAAAATCCATCAAATCTATCCAAGACTGCTGAACCTGTCGCTGCAGGCCTGCAGTATACAAACATGGCTCAAAGGCAATGCAAACTTCCAAAATCGAAAACCAATCGAGACCCAAAAGGATGCACACAAAATAAAACCCAACAAATGGCATTTCTCCAACTATACATCGAATGTCAGGGAAATGACCCAATGTGCGTCAAATGGGGTAACCCAAAATGGAGAATTGGTTGCGGCACTCCTACATGGCCTCGTCATTCACAACAAACAATGAAGTATCTACTATATCATGCTTCTTCAGCTTCAAACACTCATTTCACCCGATACTCGATTTCAGTCATTAGCTTTGAACAGCTTACCTCATGACCAACTCCTCAAATTGGGCTTTCACAAAGTGGAACACCCTCCATAGGTCTCAGACAACCCATCTCTCTTTGATGACAGACCGTGAGAACTAATGATATATCTTGCGAGTCTACGTTTACTCATCTCATTTTATTTCTTATAAATTCTTCATAAATACATGTCCTCGCACTAAAAAGGATGAGGTATCACACCTATAGATTAGTCTGTTGGCAAAACTAGTGTATAAGTCCAAAAGAATCAAGACCAGAATCATTACTAACTTCTTATTCTCGACCTGCAAATCAACAACATTCATCTCTGCATCACAAGATCCTCAAAATTAGTCATATGTTGATTGACGCTTGATCCCTCTTAAATCCTAAACGGAAAAAGGGTCTTCATCAAAATCAATCGCCTGGACAAAGACTTCGACCAAAAAAAGGTCTCGAGTTTTCTCCAAATACCTATAGCAATATTATCTAGGGTATACACATTCACATGATAACCATTGTACTCAAGTTTACCCCAACAAGATATTTCTTAGATCCCTTCTAAGCAACTAAACCTCTCTACTTCTAATTTGAAGAGTCTCCAAGTGTAGAAATGATATCCAACACCAAATGAACTTTAATACCCGATTTATTTCGTCAATCGCTCTATGATCGCATATGAAGGTTGCTCGGTTCCATTTTAGATGTATGTTATCTGGTGAAGTGAGCTTAGGTCATTACCCTAGGACGCACATCCCCTTTTTGTATGGTAATATGTCTAAGTTGCATAACCTCGTGAAATGTTGAGTGTCACCAAAATTTAACACAATGCATATGTTTCTTTTAGCATGATTAAAAGTTACAATGACTGAAATACCAATGACCGAGAGTTATGATCTTACCGTTGTTTCTATTCATATTTTTGCTAGATCTAATGAAAGTTTTGTCTTATTTCTACAGGTAGATCAAAATTTCGTGTTGCGTAGGAAGCAACTTGAAAAGATTATAGAAGCAATCAAGTATTTTAACCTTCATTTACCAAACCTCAAAAACTATAAAAGGAATTCTGATGTAGCATTGTTAAGAAAAAGGATTGCACGTAAAGCCATCACGGTTCAGCCTCCAAAACAGAAACAATCTTTTATACATTGCTTAAAGTCTAAAAGAATTTTGTCTAATGATACCAACATGGAAAGTTGGCAAGATTTTCTTCGTAGACCATCTAGTCATCATGGTCGAGTCCTCAAACCAAGGCGTCGACGGAGAAAGCGGCGGCGGAGGCGGAGGCGCCGCCAACCGCGTCCACTACCATTAGGCCCTGCACCAGTGCAATCACCAGCTCCATCTCAGAGGGCACCTTCTCCAACAACAACACCTAACGGGGCTCCATCGCCAGTATCTACTCCTAACAGGGCTCCATCTCCAACACAAACTCCTAATGGGGCCCCATCTCCAACATGGACTCCTAAAGGGTCCCCATCTCCGAAGCGTGGGCCCTTGCTTGAACCTTCTCCCAAGCTTTCACCTAAACCTTTACCTGATGTGGATCGTCTTCCACAGGAAAAAACAGAAAAGGCACCGATTTTGCCTCCAAAAGACGAAGACAATAGCAACGAGCGTAAGTTGCTAATTATTGCTGTAGCTTCAAGTACAGTCGCAGCATTTGCCATTCTCTTGTTGTTTGTAGTTTGCTTTTCTAGACTAAAGAAACGGAAAAAGGAACCTAATGATGGACGAAGGGATGGGAGGCTTTTTCCTATCGGTTAGTACTCAGCTACATACTTTCTATTGTTTGGATGTGCATTTTAATTTGATTATCGCAACTTAATTTGTTTAAGTGTTTGGGAAAAAAATCATTATGATTATGTCTGGTCAAAATATTTAGTTCTAAAAAATTGATTATTGAGATAATTGAATGTAAACTTATCTACCTATCCCTTACATTAATCAATCATTTATCTGATTTTAGTTCTTAAAGTCATACCAATCACTTTCAAAACACATATACAAACACTTCCTTAATGATATTCAAGTTACATCAGAATTTTCATAATATTTTTTTTCAGGATCTTCACAGAAATCCAAGAAAGTTGGAAGTACAAAAGATGTGATCCAAAATTTGCCAACCAGTGGTGCTTCCATGCCAGGAGGTCAAGTAGCAGGAGTTGGATCGTTACCACTTCCACCAGGAAAAACTGCTCCTCCACCATCATCACCATCACCGGCATCACCACTGGCATCACGACCATTGCCATCATCATCATCACCGCAACAAACACCACCACCATCACCACAATCACCACCACCACCACCACCACCACCACCTCCACTACCACCACATTCTGTCCCTGAAGCACCCCCACCCCCACCACCCCTAAAGGATGCTAATGTACCTAATCCTCCCAAAAACAAACCACCCCCACCTACTGGTTTACATCACCGGGGCCACTCTGGAGATGAAAATAACCAAGGGGATTCTGATGCCAATAAAACCAAGTTAAAGCCATTTTTCTGGGACAAGGTCAACACTAGTCCTACCCGATCAATGGTTTGGCATGACATCAAAGCCGGATCATTCCAGTAAGGTTCTAAACTATTAACTACAATTCTTTAGACAATTAAAATGCCTTAAAACTAAATTTTTTATTTGTGTAGTGACATACAGTTTAGTTACCAGTCATATATGAATCATCATACATGGGTTTTCATTCCAAACAAATTACTGTTCTTCTGTAAAAGAAACACTATACAAGAATGAAAGATTTTGAATAGAAAATGTCGATAGTGGTAGATTCAGAATTTTCAAGGACAATATGCACTATCGTAACAAAATCCTAAAAAATGGTTTAAATATTGATGACGTGGTTCTCTTTTTGGATTTTTATTTTCACTTCCAAAATTACTTGATCTTGTAAATAATAGTGTTTTTTTTTTGCCATTTTCATGATAATGATGAATAGTTTTGCAGCGAAAAACCAAGTAGGATGGTTGAAAAGGTTAATCCGTGTATTGTATGTATGCCAATCAGCTTTTTGGATGGACAGGTTCAATGAGGAGATGATGGAAAATCTATTTGGTTATGGTACGAGCAATCAAACTAAGAATGAGAGTGGAAAAACCACTCCAAACATAAACTCTCAACCCAAGTTGATTCAGCTTATTGAGCCCAAGAAAGCACAGAATTTGGCAATTCTTCTAAAAGCATGGAATGTAACAACGGAAGAAGTCATTGATGCCCTAAAGGAAGGTAATTGTGTATGTATATATATGTATGTATATATCTTCCTCTTTTGCATGCATTTATTTGTTAATCTTTATGACAATCAATTTCAATTGTTGATGTGAATATGATCAGGTAATGAACTTCCTGTAGAATTTATTTCAACTTTGTTGAAGATGGCACCAACCCAAGAAGAAGAGCTAAAACTTGGGTCATATAGTGGTGATGTTGCTCTTCTTGGCCCTTCCGAACGCTTCCTTAAAGTACTGGTTGATATCCCATTTCCGTTCAAACGTCTTGAATCTTTGTTATTTATGAGTTCCCTTCAGGAGGAATCCTCTTCTCTTAAAGAATCCTTTTCGATTTTAGAGGTAGAACTCACTTCCTCTTCCTTAGTAAAACGACTATTTTACCCTTTTTGCTTTATCTTTTTACAAGCATTTAGGACTCACCAGTTTGCCTAAAGGGTCCTTATTTACCATAACGACTGACTATTTTTACCCTTTTGGCATTTTGTTTACAAGCAGTGTCCTCTTCATCTTTGGATGTGTGACCTCCATTCACTTTTGGGAAGGTTTTTAAGCTCAAACTGACTATTTACCCATTCGTTTGTAACTTATTTTACAAACATGTGGGACTCAATCGTCAAGGAGAACTTAGGAATTTTGCATTAGTCAACTGTTTTTCAGTACATTCCCGTTGAGATTCTCTTGGTGATTCTAAAACTGTTCCAATGTAATTCACAGGTAGCTTGCACGACCCTCAGAAACAGTAGACTCTTTCATAAACTTCTAGAAGCAGTTCTTAAGACCGGCAACCGTATGAATGTTGGTACGTATCGTGGTGGGGCCCAGGCATTCAAACTCGACACGCTTTTGAAACTGTCTGACGTCAAAGGCACCGACGGCAAGACCACCCTCCTGTCTTTCGTGGTCCAAGAAATCATTCGGTCTGAAGGAACTAAAGTTGCCCGAAGAGAAATGGCAGCTAGTCAGAGTTCATCGGAAGATGATCAACAACAACAAACCAAAGAACCACCGGAATATTACCGGCGGCTCGGCCTTGAGGTCGTTTCCAAGTTAAGTGAGGAACTTGCGGATGTTAAAAAAGCCGCTGCCATCGATGGTGATGTCCTAACATCGACTGTTCTGAAGTTAGGACACATGTTACGTAAAATAACAGATTTCGTAAACAATGAGATGAAAACTGTGGAAGAAGAAACCGGGTTTCGGACGTTCCTCGTGGATTCGATAGATCATGCGGAAGCCGAGATCAGTTGGTTGTTGGAAGAGGAGAAGAGGATAATGGCGTTGGTGAAGAGCACAGGCGATTATTTCCATGGGAAGTCAAGAAAAGACGAGGGTTTGCACTTGTTTGTGGTTGTCCGTGATTTCTTGGTGCTTTTGGATAGTGTATGTAATGATATAAGAAAAACGACGGCCATTCAAGCAAGGCATAATCAATCGAACTCGACTGCAACGACTCCTGATGCATCACCGGGGCTAAAAGTTCGTCGGGATAAGCTATTTCCGTCTAATAAAGATGGTCCCTCGGGTTATTCGAGTTCGAGTGACGACAGCTTTTCGCCTTAGTTCTTGCTCTTAGTTCAAACAGAAAACGGGAAACCACATAAAATGAATCTGTTAACGAAGGTTACAGATTCGATCACGAAGAAGGAACTTAAAATACTTTAGCCGCGATCAGGTAGTTGAAGAGAAACAAATTCAAGAATATAGGGACCATATGTGAATAAAAAGAAAGTTGGATGCTTTACGAGTTCAAGAAGGTGGGGACTAGATTGGAATATCTTGAAGTTGAAGGTCTTAAATTGTAAATGTATAGAAGGGTGTATACTGTAAATTATGATTTTCGAATGTTAGTTTTTTGTTAGATTAGATTTTAATAATTCTTTTATTTCTTTTTCAAACTACAAATCGCTTTCATACACGTTTTCTTTTTCATTTTCGATGACGAATTATCGCGTCTGTTTAGAGATCGCTCAAAAAATTCCGACCCGAAACCCAAGCCCAAAGCTCGGGTCGGAATTTTAAATGTCTATTCAAACTTGCTCGATCTTTTCAATTACAATATCTTTGTTTAATAAAAACAGTTTCGAAAAACCCGAGTCTTGTACATTTTTACTCGGGAAGCGTCTTCCCGATTCCTTAATTTGCAAGGAAAATCGATATTTGAATTTTTCTTGAGAGCAACCAAAAAAATAAGTACTATCCAAGGTGGTTTCTGGTTAGTTTGAGCTTGACTCCAAAGGTCAAAAGTACCAGGAGGTTCCAGGTCCAAATCTAAGAAGAAATAAAAATCCTCTTGTGGCTACGGAGGTTCAAATGCGGTGACTCCGGACTATCTGCAAAGCAAGTGGTCGCCCTGAGATTAATCGGCTCGTATAGCGGGTTGAATATCCAAGTTAATCAAAAAAATAAGTACTATACTTCCGTTCTTCTCTTTTAACCCTATTCCAAATCCATAATCTTTGATAAGCTCCAAAGAACTTGTTCGATATCGTCACCGTGAACCCGACCCGTTTTACCGCAAACAAATTCCTCGACCCCACCATCAACCACCTCGATCACGCTCTTCCCACTCTCCTTCCTCATCCCTTTCTCCGATACCATCTTCCTCATCTCCGTTACACCTTCCCACATTCCATTATCAGCATAAATATTCGACATAACAACATAAACCCCACAATCATCGCCATTGAGTTCCATAAGCTTATTCAACACGAATTCACCTAAACCGACGTTTTTTTGTACCCGACATGCCAAAAGAACAGAACCCCACAGATCTGAATTCGGTTCCATTGGCATCGACGCTATAAAGTTTAGTGCTTGTCTTAATTTACCTGCTCGCCCAAGAAGATCAATCAAGCATCCATAGTGTTCAACTTTAGGTTTTGGTATTTTCCGAAAGATTTCAAGACCTTCGGGTACGAATCCTGCATGACTACAAGCGGAAAGAACGCTCACATAAATCAAATTGTCTGCTTGAATTCCTTCTTTCCGCATTTGATCGAAATAACTCAGAGCTTCGTCCCCGAAACCATTGATACCGAACCCAGAAATCATCACATTCCAACTGATAACGTTTCTTTCTGACATGCTAACGAAAACTGCACGAGCCTCTTCGGTGCTACCACATTTCATATACATGTCTACAAGGGCTGTGTTCACCACAACGTCAAGTGTGATTTTGTTCTTTTGGATGTAGATATGAATCCACCTTCCTTGATCAAGCGCACCCAACTGGGCACAAGCCGATATAGCACCAACAACACAGAATTTATCGGGTTTTATGTCATTAGAAAGCATTAGATTGAAGACATTCAATGCTTCTTTGGGATCTTGGTGCTGTGAATAGCCATCGATCATAATGCTCCAAGAAATTACATTCTTATGTTCCATTTCATCAAATAGTTCCCGAGCTGCCACCATATCACCTACCTTTGCGTATGAATCTATCATAGTATTCCATGAAACCAAGTCACGTTTATGCATTCGGTCAAAGAGCGACCGAGCATGAATAATGTCACCTAGTTTCTGAAAAGAACACAAAAACACACAAACACCAATTAGTATAAGTTAATCAGAAGAGAATTGTAATAAATCAAGATTTTTTCAGTGTATGATTAACGTTTGCAAACCTTGCCGTACCCATCAATCATAATGGACCAAGAGACAACATCTCTCTCAGACATTTGATCAAACATCTTCTGTGCTTCCACTATATCACCACACCCTACATACCCACTCAACATCAAGTTCCATGATACCAAATCCTTCCCATGGAACCCATCAAATAAAACCCTGGAACAACTCATCTGGCGACACTTACAGTACATACCAATCAACCCATTTATCACAAACAAATTCGAATAAAAAAACCCGACTTTCACAACTTCTGCATGAACTTGTCTGCCTTCCCACAGTCCGCATATCATCGTACACGCCTTCAGCACAAATGGGTATGTATAATTATCACAATCAATCCCATCTCTTTTCATTTTAGCATAAATCTCAAAACCCAGTTGTGGTTTTGAATTTGAGTTCCTGATATGGGATTTTATCATCGTGTTGTACGTGTAGGTGGTTCTATTGATTTGTTGAATTTGGGAGAACATGCGGCTTGCTGAATTCATAGTTGGAAACCCTCAATCGACAAAGGAATCTATGGAATTGTAGCTTAATTTTGTTTATTTGAATTCATTAATAAGAAATTGATCTGGTGTAATCCTTCTTATACTTATCATATTAGTGTTGATGTTCTATTAGGATTGATTTAAGGTGAAATCCTTCTTATACTTATCATCGTAACTTTCTTTTTCACCGGAACCTAACCTCTACACTCTTAATGGTATACTAGGAGGGTATTCGTACAATGCAACGAGATACATCTCGATTTTAATGTTTTGTGTTTTTTTGTTTCGGTTGATGTTATAATACGATTTTTATATGGTTTTGAGAAAATAATAATGTTCTTATTTTTAAATAAGATATAAATATAAAAATATCATAAAAAATTAATATTAGTACTAAACTAACTATTTTAATTTTTTTGAGTGTATTTCTTTAATTTATTTTTTATTTTTTTTAATAATTTTTTTATAAAGATAATAATTAAGCATTTTCAATGATTATCTCAATTATATTTTAAATTTTTTATATTTTAAATGAGATGTTTATCCTCTCGATTATGTTTATCTGCAGTTAGTCACACGAATTCAAAACATAAAGCTTTAATAAGTTGTATTTAAGCACAATTTAGTTGTAATCTTGAATTTTAAGTAATATGMATCAATAAACAATACTTCATGCATAAAAATGGTTTTTAAGAGTTTTTGTCAAATGTTTTATAATATAGTATAGATATAGAGCTATGATAACGACTGATCTATGATTTTTGTCGAGTAAGTGCATTTTTAAGGTGGGTTTAAAGACCTGTAAAATTCTGATTTGATCATGTGAAAAAGTCAACAAGGTTTGATATGAGAAAGAGTCAATTGTATCGATTTGAGAAATAAAATACATTTTTCCAAATACAACTGATCTTTTGTGTAAGCCACAAGACTACATTTTAGATGTAAGCCCGGTGTGTGTATTTAGACAAACATTCGGTTGAATTCTATAGACTTTTTTGGTTTTTTAGTTTATTTCGATGGACCTTTTCAGGGTTTTGGTTGATTTCGATGGATTTTTTCAGTTATTTGATTGATATGCTTTGTATTTTCTAATATCTTGAAGCACCCCTCAAAGTTTAACACGTGCATCTTTTATTTCCTAAAAAAATCTACTGCAAAATCAGTTGAGCGGATGCATACAACCCCCTAGGTCCTTTATAGGCACGACCCTGACCTAAATGGCTCCCATTTATGGTTGAGTCGTTGCGTTACTTACATGGTATCTTTTCTTTAAAACCCATAACTGTTTTTCCTACCCCAAACTTCCCAATGGCCGATAAACAAACTAGAATACATAAATATAACGCTGAATGTCTAAATGTATCTGTAATCTAATTGTACATTGTTATCAATATAAATGGAACTCTAGGGATGCCATTTTATAGTTCAGCTGCTACGTTATTCACACTTTATATTTTGCTCCTTATGTAATGAATGAGTTATCCTCTTCGCTTATGTTTGATCAGAAACACCGACCAAGTTATAATGTTGAAATCTAGCTTTCTAAATATTCAAACTTTTTGGAACATCGTATTATTTTATGAACTGTGCGTAAAGTTCTTTAGTAAAAAGTATGTATGACAACACGAGCAATATTAATATTAGGGATCAAAGCTCAATCAATTAAGCTTTGTATTGGACTAGAGACGGGTTTCACACATACATATACATGATTGGGTTCCGATTAGAAGGAAAGTTAAGGTGAGAAGCAAAGAACGGATTACCACCCTTAGATGCACATTAAGATGAGATGTATCAAGATGCACCAGATCAATCCTCGTATCAAATGCAATTCATAGGTGAGTTTGAGATTAAAGATGATCAAGAGTCCAGATTCCTTTTTATGCTTCTCACATTAACTCTCCTCCTCACACGATCTTTCACCTACATATTATATATATATATAGTAGTTCAATCAAAGGAGAACTGATTAGTTTGTGATAATTGTGAGATCCAATCTCAACCACAAATCAATAGATAAATTAGAAAATTAATATTTTTGGTAATTTGACTTAAAGTCATAATTAAAGGGTATTTTAGGTATTTTAATTTTTTTTATCTCTCTCCCTCCTACCTCCGGCCTTCGACGAACACCATGTTGTACCCAAAATACACCAAGATACACAATGTGATACCCAAAATACATAAAATATTATACCCAAAACACACCACGTAAACTTTGAAACCGTTGTGATACGAATTGTGGTACCGTTGTGATACGAATTGTGGTACCTTTGTGATACCAACTGTGGTACCATTGTGATACCAACAAGATGACCGGAGGAGGTCATCGAAGTGGTTGTGGATGCCGGAGAAAGCTACCGGATTTGGTCCCTGTGTGTGTATATATATATATACACACATATATTAAAATAATTAAACTAATCAAAGTAAATTGAATAATCAACACAATTTACTAATTTACAATTTGTTTTATTTTAGTAAATAACATTATATATAAAAAATGATTGACTTATATTAAACCTCATAATTACGACAAACTATCTAGTTCTCACTTGATTAAGTCCATATATATACACACATCAAAAGACGAGGATTGCTTAACATTAATGCTTTTGCTTGGTAGGACAATAGATGATCCAAAGAAGTGTAACAAATAATATGATAAAAGTCTAAAATACCCTAAACCATTACCAACATAAAACAATACATTAGACAAGGGTAAAATAGTCAATTCGAACTAAAAAAGCAAAAAGCATGATGTTATGATATGATGATGTGATTAAAAAAAGTCAAAAAGGAGAAATATCGATGTTTTGACTTTTTAGTTAGTGGATGGAAGCAGTGGCAGTTACGTAATAAGCGACAGAAAAGAGGCTATGAACGAAACACAATATCCCTCCGATTGAAAGGAAATGATGGTGCGACAGTCCACACGATGCATTGGATTTGTGGTTTGCTTTTGTCCCGATCACCAGCATCCCCAATCCAACGGCTAAGATTACCCTGATCCATATCAAAACCAAAAGTTTATTGGTCTAGCAATGTGTTACAAATGGGTTGGATTGGTCAAGTTGAAGACATTTAAACAATCAAACCTAATATTTACGGTTTGAAAAATCTCAATCCAACTCAACTCAATCAAAACTACAACCCAACCCAATACAAATCGTTTGGATTGGGTTGGGTTGGTTGGTTTGATTGAATTGAATCGTTATTACATCATTTTATAATCTAGCTAAACGTTTTATTTAAGCGAAATAAATCAAAATGAGAACATATAGAAAAAGTCTAATAAACTAAAAAAAAAGGTTGAAATTTCATGCAAATAAGAAAATGAAATTACAGTTGAAATTGTAATATGATTTTGAATGTAGCTAATAACAGGTTGGTCTATGTCTAATGTATATATATTAATCGAAATGTGTAAGTTTGTTTTGACGTATATAAATATTATATACCTCATCTATACTATATTATAAAACATTTGACAAAAACTTTAAAAACCATTTTTTATGCATTAAGTGTTGTTTATCGATGCATATTACTTAAAATTTAAGATTATAAATAAATTGTCCGTATGTACAACTTATTAAAGCTCCATATTTGAATTCGTGTAACTAACTGCAAATAAACATAATCAAATATTGGATAAGTATCTCATTTTAAATATAAAAAATCTAAAATATATTTAGAATAATCATTAAATTCTAACAAAACACTAAATATTATCTTTATAAAATAATTATATTATCAAACAAAAAATAAATGACTTTATTATTAAATCTAAATTAAATTATAATAAAAAATTGAATTAAAAAAATTGCACAAGAAATAAGAACCTTTAAATATCTAATTTGATGTTAAAATCGATACATTTTCAAAATTTTATGATATTTTCAAATTTATATTGTATTCATAAAAATAAAAACATTATTGTTTTTTCAGTACCACGTAAAATCGTATTATAACAACGACGAAGACGGAAAAAATGAAACATTAAAAAAAATCAATATGTATTTCGCTGCATTGTACGAGTACCATTCTAGTACCTCAAAACTGTGAAAGTGGATGGATCCTTTCGATCCATCTGATTTTTATATTTTTTGTGGAAGTAAATAGATTTTCTTAATCCATTAAATTTGTTTTTTTATAACAACTATAAATCCGTTGCAAAATGATTTTGCAACGGATTCGAAAGAGAAAGAGAAGGGGAGATACCATGTAAAGAAGAGGGATAGCAATGACAATTGTCTACCAAGAGAAGCCTTTTGGATGTCATCATGGTTACAAACGGTGCAACCACTTAGCAAATTAGCCAACACATGGGCTGCAATCAATAGCACAATGGCACCCAACCCTAGCCTAAAGGCTTCTTGGCTTGGTTCTTTGCATTCAAACAACCACAACCTCAAATGCTTCTCCTGTTCATCACACAAACAATCAAATTCATTTGTCAAATGAAGAAAAGAACAATTAAACCCTTTTTAAGTGGCTTAACTGGTCAAGACTCAGGTCAATAGATCAGTAGTTCGAGTCTTTCAAGAGCAGTGGAGGTTTATCTCCCTATTCACTTCAAGGGCTTGTGGGATTGGTCGACATTCGCACAAACTCACCAGAACTGATCAAATACGGTTATCCAAAGACAATTATCAAACCTGGTTTTGGGCTGCTTCGGCTCTAATCCCGAGGATGCCTGCAGTGATGTCGAACATGATGATGACAAGACAAACGAACGCACCGACTCCTTTGTTAGGCATCGTGACAAATATTTTTAACAAGAAAATGGTAAGGGATTGATGGGTGTTTTGAAAGTGAAGTTGATTTGGGTTATATGGGGTTCATGTGGAAGGGTGAAAAGGTTGTTTTTGTGAAGGGTTTTTGCATGCTTTGTAGTGCTTTTTATGACACTTTTTTTTACTTTGGATTCTTTGGAAGGGTAACAAGAAAAGTAGGGTATAAACCAGCTAACCACCAAGTGGGATGTCTCTTGAGAGAATCTAATACCTTCTTTTATACATACATACATACATACATACATACATACATACATACATACATACATACATACATACATACATACATACATACATACATACATACA